GAGCAGGGAGCCCGATGCAGGACTCGATCCCGGGACTCCAGGATCATGACCTGAGCTGAAGGCAGGCGCTTAACCAACTGAGCCACCCAGGCGCCCGCCATTTTCATTAATTTTTAAAACAGGCACAAAAACACGACTGTGTATTTTGCGTGAATACATACACATTTATATAAAAGTATTTTGAATGGCACAGAAGGAAACCCACTAAAATTATGACAATGGTTGCTTCTGAGAAAGGGGAAAATGGGGCCTGGGATGGGGACAATAAACCTCATTTTATTTGAAAATGATTTATTTTAGTAAAGGAGACATTAAAAATGTGTTGACAAAATGTTAACAATAATTAATTCTGGATGGCTGGTACCTAGGTGTTTGTTATATTACTCTATCTTTATATATATATATATATTTTTTTTTCTTTTAATATCCTTAACAAAGAAAAATTGAGAGTAAAGACTGTAGATTCTTCAAGTGGAGGGGTCACCTTTGGAGAATATGCTTTACAAAGTCCTTGAGAGTGACTGTCTAGGAACTCTAAGCAAAGTTCACATCCCAGGGCACCAGATAATCTTGATTACTCACATTAAAATGAATAACAACTGTTGTGTTGTCTTGAAAGGGTTCCCTGCAGTATGCATCTCCCCTGCAATAGATTGCTCTTGGCCTTCAGTGCAAGATAGTATTTGTTTCTGGTTACGGTAGACCCACAACTGGTATCGATCTCTGCATCCTTCCTTCCAAAGAGTTTTTGCCTGGGGATGTTGTTGGGATCAACAGGTGTTCAAAATTTCAATGATGGAACCTTGTTCCTAGTGCTGAACATATGCCGATTTATCCCATTGGAAATGAGTATCCAGCTTGACCACAGAAAGGAATCAACAGAACTTTCTTAGTGCCAAAGAACTGAGAACTTACCAGTGAAACAAGACTGCCCTCCTTGCCCCTCTTTGCTTATCTTGTTGCAGAAAGACCCCAGGGCAGTTTTCCTCAGTTCTTGTAAATTTTAGCCCCTGGCTTGCTGTCACTGTCTTCAACACTCATCCTTGTCATAATTCATAGTAATTTCAGTATCTACGTGGAGGATCCTGTTGGGTCTTGCAGCTCCCCCCGACTCCATTGTTCCTCTGCCACCCACTTCCACTGCATTATCCTGTCTCCCCCACAGTCTAGGTTACTGTCCTCACCCCACTGATTCGAGATTTCTGTCCTTACCCAGCTTAGAGTCCATGGTCCATCATTATGGTCACTCCTCTGCCTACATCCTCAACTCTCTTGGCTCTCTCTTCATAGTCCTTGCTTGGCAAACTTAGACCACTCCCCCCATGCAGAACGGTCCCACTTTTAGTTTATGTACCTCAAGTGGGCCCTCAGCACTCCTGACACTCCTGCTATACTTCCTTAATCCGTTTACACACCTCTCCTCTGTTCTCAGACTCCTGATAGCTCCTCTCACATCCATGTTTGCTGCTGATGACCTTGTTTTCTCTTTCACAAAAGAAAAATTTCATCTGCTCTCACAGCCTCACTACAACCCCACCTGCCCCTGCCTTCCCTCCTCTCAGTAGGCACAATGGTCCATACTCCTTTCTAAGGCTGGACACCCCCCCGCCCCCCGCATCTGTGCCTTAGAGCAAATCTTCCCTTGCCTACCCAATGACATTCTCCAGCATCTCTCCCTCTCTCCTACTTTATCAATTTTGCCCTCCCTGTGGGATTATTCCCATTGGCATGCAAACGAACCTTAATAGAGCCCATTTTAATTATCCTGCCTTGACCCCCACCCCCTCTTCCAGCTACCCACAAATTACTCTGTTCGTCTTTCCAGCAAAGCTCCTTGAAAAACTTGTCCCTATTCCTCTCACCCATTTTCTCTTGATCCTTCTCTTGCCGGGCTTTATCCCTGCTGCCTCACCAAAACAGCTTTGTCAGAGTCACCAGTGACCTCTGGTTGATAAACCCAGTGGCCCGTTCTCAGTCATCTTCCTTTGCTCAGCAGCCACACCTGACTCGGCTGACTAGTTCTTCCTCCTTGAACACACTCTTTTCACTTGGCTTCTGGGTACCACACCCCTCTGATTGCGTCCTACTTCCTGACTCAGTCCCTACCTTGGTTTGACCGTATCTGGAAGACCTGATGACATCAGAGTGCCCCAGGGGTGAATCCTTCTACCTCTTCCCTTTTTTACTCTGTGGGTGGAAGAGCCTCAGAGCTTTGAACTACCCTCCACACAGTTTATCTACACATTTACACAGTCACTCTTCTTGCAAGGACAATCAACCTTAAATTAATATAGCTCAGAATGGTGTTTTGTTTTGGCTGGAAATTTTTCAGTGATTGATAGATTGCTTATATTTAAGATTACAGATGTGGCATCACATTTTTGTAATTTTCTGATCACAGGCTAACTAGAGATTGCATGCAAAAAAATAAATACAACAAAAAAACCCAGAGGAGTTCTCCAAGAGCTATCTCAGTGAGAATGTTTAAAAATTAAATTGCATTTTCTGCTATCAGCTTCACAGACTGTGGCTTTGGAACTTCTAATACTCACACTATTTAAGCCCCTAGCAATTAGAATATAGCCATGACAAAGCCAAAATATCCTTTTGAGACTCTTGCTCTACAGTTTTTGCCATGGGGTGTGTATGTCTTTGACAAAAAAGGCAAATAGCACTGGAAACACTGCTTCTTATCACAGAAAAAAAAATTTATGGCCCTGAACTCACCAACGTGGAAAGCCATGTTTATGTTAAAGCATCTATTGACCCTTGAGTATGAGATAATTACTTAAGATGACTATAAACCAACCACTGTTGGTGGTTGTGGGTTTGTTTTGTCTTTTAAATCACTGACTTTTTGTCATCTGTAAAATGAAATTCTTATGCCATTCAGTGGAGATCTCATGTAGTTGAAAAGGTAAAACGAATCTGATTGCGAGACTTTATGACCAAATACTTGAATGAATAAATTAAAAGAAGGTGTGAACTGGAAATGAAATGGGGCTTTTGTTAGAATCCTGCTGAATGCTTTTGTAGCCATTTTTTCTACCTGTTCAGGGAACAAGGAAGGAAACATTAAGAATTATATGGAGGAAATTATGGTGAAGAAAGTTGTATGAGAAAGTGAAAACTCATTTTCTTCATCAGTGCCTTGTGTTTCAAGGTTGCCTTGAAGTATATAAGTATATAAAGTTTTCATGTGGGAAACAAAAACTCAGTGACTCTGAGAAGAGATGATTCAGTAATTACTCAGCCTAATCAGTATAAATAGTTGATCTGGATTTTTCAGGACCCAAACTGAATTATCTATAAATTAACTGCACAGTTGCCAAACAATCCCTTCAGTTAAAACTTCACAGAAGCATTCTACATATTGAGATTATTCTGTTGTATTATTTATTTGTGAAGAATGATATTTCAGATGTTTCTTTGTCAAGCAGTATCTGTGGGTGCCGTGGTGTTTTACAGTTTGCAAATGTGTGCTAAGGTCCAGTCAGGACTGGTATTCTTTATAAGCAATGATTTACCAATTAATAAGACTGACTCAACATTTTGCAACTTTGTTGAGATAAACTCCCTAGGGATAAGATTGTGTACCCTCATGAATTGTGGGACAATAAATACTTACATTTTATTAGGAATTCATTATGGTAGAAAACCTTTCCTGAGTTCAGATTTGAGGGAAGAAAAGCATCATCTTGGGTATTACACTTTTTATCTGCTCACTTCAGTAATTGGCTCGATGGGAAGACTTCAGATACTGTTTTCATGACATGGTTTTCCAATTGGTGCTTTTCTCTCCAGGTTCCCGAGGGCAAAGTGGTGGTTCTGAATTTCCGATTCATAGACCTCGAGAGTGACAATCTGTGCCGTTACGACTTTGTGGATGTGTACAGTGGTCACACCAATGGCCAGCGTATCGGGCGCTTCTGTGGCACGTTCCGGCCTGGAGCCCTTGTGTCCAGTGGTAACAAGATGATGGTGCAGATGATTTCCGATGCCAACACAGCTGGGAATGGCTTCATGGCCATGTTCTCTGCTGCTGAACCAAATGAAAGAGGTACCGTTTCCACATAATGGCAGTCACAGCAGTAATCAGGCTCACGGTTATTGGATGCCTCCGGTGTGTTAGGCTCTATCCCAGGCACTTTGTATGTGTTTACTCCTTTAACCTAAAGTTGCAGAGCAGTTCTCCTCAAACGGAGCTAATAAATGCCACCTAACTACCAAGAGACCATTCCAAAAAGTCTCTCTTTTTTTAAAGCCATGTGATTCTTACCAAAATTCAAATATAGAAATTCCTGGAGTAAAAATGCGAAGCTTACATACACATATACACATACCCCTTCACTCCATTATAGTCCCGTCTTAGAAAGAGCCATGGCTGGTGGTTCCCATACCTTTCTATCTACACTCGTATGTATATACTTCAGTAGCTTTTTAAAAATCTAAGTGGGATCATACATTCACATTGTTTCACAACTTTTTTTTTTTTTCACTTAAAACTATGTGTTGGAGTGTTTTCATGTTGGTACATATGAGTACCCGTGGGTAGAAACCGCTCCCCTGAAGAGATAACTGCAGTGGGCCAGATCTGTTAAATTTGGAGACTTTTGCTTGCGGGCATTTCCTAATCTGCTCTTGCTTCGAGCTGTTGTGCAGCATTTTGGTTTGAGATGTCAGAGGACAGGATCTGGGGCTGGCAGAGCAGCCAGACATTTGGGAGGAAATGCTGGCTGGGAGCTACAGAGGAATTGAGGCACAAAATATACAGATAAAAGCCACCTAGATCTTTGGTTGACAGCCAAACTCTACGTATGCAGAGGAGAGTCTAGTTGGCCTGGCACAAAAGCAGCAGCTGAAAAGATGAAAGTGAACAGAGATTACAGCTGCTGCCCACGGCCAGGGAGATGACTTTGAGCTTGACTGAGTCTAGGCAAGTGAAATGCCTGCTAGAACACAAATCCTTTTTCTATGGAACACAACAGAATCTAGAGTCTCTGTAATGTGTCATTCATAATATCCAGTATCGTCATGTGATAAAGCCAGAAAAGTGTGTCTGTATTCAAGAAAAAAAGTCAATAAAAACTGATCCCAAGATAACTCAGATGTGGCAGTTAGCAGACAAGCACTTAAAGCAACTATTGTAACTGTCTAAGGACTTAAAGAGAAATAGATGTATAGTAAGTAAACAGGTTGAGAATTTCAGAAGAGAAACAGAACTATAAAACTATAAACTATAAAAAAAGAATAAAAGAGTAATTCTAGAACTGAAAAATACAGAATCTGAAATTTAAAAATATACCTGGTGGGCTTACAAGCAGATTGGAGATGGCAGAAGAGTCAGTGGATCCGAATAGAAATGAGCCAATCTGAAGAACCAGGAGGAAAAAGATGAAAGGAAAAGAGCCCAAGAGGTGGTCTAACGAGTGTATCAAGTGGTCTAACGAGTGTAATTTGTATCCCACAAGAGAGGGAGAGTAGTGCAGGAAAAATGTCTGAAGAAATAATGGCTTGAAGCTACCCAGATTCAATGAAGAACATTAATTTATAGAGCCAAGAAGATGAACAAACCCCAACCAGGATAAATAAAAATAAAGCCACACTGAGGAACATCAAAATTACAGAAATCTAAATATAAAGAGAAAATCTTAAAATCAATGAGATGAAAATCAAGTCACATACAAGGGAACAATGGTGTGAAGGATGGCTTTCTTTTAATTAGAAACAGTGGAGGCCAGAAGGCAGTAGAACAGCATTCTTAAAGTGCTGGAGTAAAACTATCAACCCAGAATTCTATAGCCAGTCTTCAGAAATGAAAGTGAATGAAAGACATTTCTTGCATCCCGAGAAATATTAAAGGAAGTTCCTCAAGTTGAAGGGAAATGGCCCCACAGGGTAACACGAACGTAATGGAAGGGTTGGAGGCCACTGGAAATGGTAAATATAAAAGACTATATATTATTTCATGTTCTTAATTTCTTTACATGTATCTGTTCAAAACAGGACAAAAAAAAAACCCCTGTAACACTGTATTGTGGAATATGGAATGTATGGTAGAATATATATGACAATAATAGAACAAAGGTAGAAGTTAAGGAGAGGTAAACGGAACTTTACTGTTGCATACACACACACACACACATACACACACAATACGTGAAGAAATACAATATTAACTCTAAGCAGATTGTGATAAATTAAAGATGCACATTGTAATCCCTAGAGTACCCATTAAAAATGCAAGAGTTATAGCTAAAAGCCAAAAGGTTAAAACAGAATACTAAAATTTTTCAACTAACCCAAAGAAGGCAGGAAAGGAAAAACAGATGAAACAAGAGAAAGGTGAGACAAATAGAGCAAAGTAGCCAATGGCGCACCAAACCCAAGCATATCAATAAATACATTGATTGCCAAGGATTAAATACTCCAGTTAGAAAACAGAGATTATTAGAACAGTTTACAAAGCAAGGCCTAACTATACATTGTCCACAAGAAAGCACTTGAAATACAAACTAGGTTTAATGTAAAAAGATGGAAAAATATGTACCATGCACACATTATTAAAGTTAATAAAGATCCCAATAAATATGAACATGGGCAAACACTTGAACAGACACTTCACAAAGGAAGTTACATGAATGATTAATAAGTACATGAAAAACTGCTCAGTATCCTTTGTTAACAAGGTAATGCAAACTAAAACCACATTGGGATACCGTTACAAACCCACCAGATTGGCTAAACCAACTGACATCATCAAATGGTGGCAAGGATGTGCTATGACCAAAGTGCTTGTACCTGGAGAGGTATAAAATTCTACAGCCTCGAGAGGAAAATCTTTCGTAGTTTCTTCTGAAGTTAAACATCTACATCCATTCTCGGCCCAGGAATTGCTTTTCTGGGTATTTGTGCAAGAAAAATGAAAATGCTTGTCCACAAAGAGATTTGTACAAAACAGTTCACGGCAGCTTCATTTACAATAGTCCAAACCAGAAACATCCAACAGAGGAAGAGGTAGACATATTGTGTTTCCACACACCAGAATCACACAGCAGAGTAAAAGAACAAACTACCAACCTGCACGCAGTATGAATGCATCTCAGACATTGTGCTAACAAGCAAGGGAAGCCAGACGCAGAAGAGTCCACAATACATGATTCCATGTATATGAAGGTATAGAATAAAACTAATCTAAGGTGAAATTTTTCAGAAAAGTGGTGTGGAGAGTTGGCAGACTGACTGGGAAGGGGTACAGGAGTTTGGTGGGAAATGGATTCTGTATGGTCACAGGAGTGTGGCTTACATAAGGGGATTAATTTTTCAAATTAGTACAGCTAAGGTTTGTGCATTTCACAGTGAATGAATTTACCTTTGAAATCTGTAAAATAATAATAATAATAATGAAGCAGGTGGTAGGGATTGGATAGTGGTATTAATAAAAAGAACAGTAGAATGATGATAAAATTGTTGAAATTAATTGTTGGATGCATAGAAGCTCATTCTATTATTCTATTTACTTTGTATCTGCTTGAAATTTTCCGTGAATAAAGTTTCAGAAATTATCCAACCTCAATTTTTATAATGTGTTTTCTTAGAGATGCCTTTTAAGAATGATTATCTTCTGTGTCAAAGAAATATTTAATTTGAAGTATATTAGTTCCCTTAGTTTCAATTCAGTTTTTCTGTTAGTTAAATTCAAATAAAATTAAATTTAGAACTTTGTATTAAAATACCGTTCTAAAATTACTCCTGTTGACCTATCAGTACATATGCATGGAATGTCTGAAATGATGTTTCTCAAATATTAGTTGTGGTTAGTTTTAGGTGGTTGAATTTGGGGTAATTTTCTTTTTCTTCTTGATGCTCTTCTAGTATTGCTGAAAATTTATAAACACTGTTTTTACAGACAAAAATTATGCTTAAAAATTATTAAAGATGTGTAGCATATAGAGTTTTCTGGTAATGAGATTTTTCTCTGCCAACTAATTCAAATTTTGTCCGTGGGCATGCATTTTAATCCTATTAATAAATACCTCTGCCTTGAGGGTTCTTTAAAATCTATGTAATTTGTTGAGCCAGCATGATTTCTGAATGCGTTCATGCCCAAATGTTTTGTCTTTACTTGACCAAAGGAAAGAAAGAAAGAAAAGAAGCTACAGCCCTGACTCCACTCCTATGCTCTCTTGTGCTGATGTGATGATATGTTAAGTAATAGAGATCTTCAGTGTGTGTGGCGGGTGGGGGAGTGTAAGAGGCTGTGTAACCGTATTTTAAGAAAAAATTTTAAGAGCTTCTGCCATTGCCTTTATTGACTGTATTATTACCAATATTCCAAATGCCCAGTCTGCTTATGGTAGCATTGCCATAACCCGTAGCAGGATATAAACTTGGATTTTTTTTCCATACTTAAAAACTTCAGGAGATCAGTATTGTGGAGGACGCCTTGAAAGACCTTCTGGCTCTTTTAAAACCCCCAACTGGCCAGACCGAGATTACCCTGCAGGAGTCACTTGTGTGTGGCACATTGTAGCCCCAAAGAATCAGGTAAGATTCCCTAAAAACATGAAGAAGGCATGCATGTGTGAATTGCCTAGATGGTGCGAGGGGCCCGTCTCTCAAGAGCATAGCATGCAGGATGAGGAAGGCCTGCTGGACACACGTATCTCTTCAAACAAAGACCCAGATTGAAATTACTTTTGCACTATTTGACTTGCAAAAGTCCTGCATTTAATTTCCTAGTATATAAATACAATTTTCAAATTTCAGTACAAATAGTAAACAAATCCCTGTGAGATTGTTGAACCCCGTAGAAGATGTTATAAACAGCAGTGACCGAGTGTGGGACGATTGGAATCCCCAAGTATATGTAGGTTTTAGGTTACCATTTGTTCACGTGGCAAATGCACTGTGACAGCTTCACCTGGACAAAGTTGATGCAAGCACACCACATCTTCCCCTCAGAGAACGAGTCTGAAAACTAATCTGCTCTGTGGGTATTTTTTTGGTTATTGTTTAACATAAAATTTGTGCAGGTTCCCCACAAATAACTTTATTCATTGCTGTAAAACAATCAACAGAGAGGGTCTGATTTTCCAGTGCTTATTAGTTTGTGGTTATGTGAAATTTTACCATTTCTGGGAACCACTTTCAGATATGAATTGCAGAACAAAACGTAGCATGGGAATAGACCATGCCTACTGTGTGGACTTTGGAAAATAACTTTTAAAAAATTATTATTGTTACGAACACTACAGACTGTACTCAAACATTAGAGTGTGAGCATTATGATACTGTTTAAAAAAAAACTTTTCTAGGACACCTGGGTGGCTCAGTTGGTGAAGCGACCCACTCTTGATTTTGGCTCAGGTCATGATCTCAGGGTCCTGGGATCGAGGTGTCAGACTCCCCACTCAGCAGGGAGTCTGCTTCTGTCTCTCTGCCCCTTCCCCCGACTCGTGTGTGCACACACTCTCTCTAAAATAAATAAATCTTTAAAAAATTTTTCTGAACTGATCTTTTGTATCACTTACACAAATACTGTTTGCCATATATTGATTTTTAAATGGAAAATTATTCAAGCAAATACACCATTCAAGTTAGTGATTTGAACACACACACACACGCACACACACACTTTGATCATAATCCCCAAACCCAGTTTTATTTTTAAGAATAAAAATATGGTCATTTACTTAATGATGAAAGATTCTACACATTTATTGAATTTTTAATAGTTTAAAATAACAGCATTTAAGCCATTATATAATTCTTGAGATTGTACTGGTCATTTGTCTCTCTGTGACATTTGGAAAATATATTAATTAGCCCAAATAATTTCAGCTTAATTATCCTTGCAGATTACAATTCAGCATCTTTTTTCCAGTGTTCATCTCTTTGATTATTTAAACTTAAACACATTTTCCTAATGTGATTTTTGGCTTCAGCCAAGTAGTTTTTAGTCATTGTTGTAATGAAATCACTGGAAGCACTGTCAAAGAAGAAGAATATAATGGGAAGATTAAGTCCTAAGTAATTTCTATGCAAATCTATGAGCATTTTCTTCTGCTAACAACTTACCTTCATTTTTTTAATCATAGCTTTTCCCTTTATTCTCCTATTTATTTACTTATTTTTTAATCTTCTCTCCAAAAGTTGTTATGTGACTAATTTCTAAGTAGAGAAAGTTCAGCCAATTTTTAATAATCTGGAAAGCATTTTATTATTAAATGGTGAGCAGTTATTGAACCCAAAGAGGAACTATTTCAATATAATTTAAAGCAGTGCTAAATATGAATAAGCTGTTATTCACCCATAACTGGTGCTGACTTTTTAAAGGTGGGTAACTACATAGATATGTGGCAATTATGTTCAAGCCAAAATTTATCTTTGGTCCCTCTGTGATGCTGTTGCTGTTACCATCTTCATCCAATTACTGTGTGTGATCACAGTCTTCTTTAGCTAATAACTAGGGCCTGTTCTAACAGGAATTAATGCCCATTATCTTCCCTAAGCAGCAGGGAGGGTTGCCTTGCCTGCCCACCTGCTGCCCAGCAAAAGTAGGGACCAACTCTCTGGGTCCATGGGTATATATGAACCCAGCGTGATTTCCTTTGATTCACACATTGGAGGTGCTCTGGAAAAATCTGCTTGTGAGGGGAATGATTGCCTATTAAACCAAAACTTCCTATTAACTTGAATAACTTAGGACACTATTATTGGTACTAGTGCAAAAAAATAAAGAAATACTTAAGAAATCTAACACTGACTTTGTTTATCAGTGCTTTCATGCAGCCTCTTCAGAAATCAACCACATCACCAAATAGGCTGTCCTCAACTCAGTAGGCACACTTTTCAAACATACTTTAAGACGACTCGCAGTCAGTCCCCACTTCCTGAATCTCTGGTCCTAAAGAATTTGCCTGCTTACATGTGATAAGAATGTCATTCTCCTTCCCTCGAAGGAGGAACAACTCTATCCACCACCTCACCTACCCAAGCACATAACACATACACCACACCTCAACACATCTCAGAGAAGAAGAATGAAGTTGGTATATACCTCTGCTTCCCACTCCAACACGAATCCAATTATGGTCTTAAGGTAGGTTGTTAGGGTTATATGGTGTTCCCATACATTTGTAACTGTAGGTGAACAGATCTCTTAAATTTAAGTTCTTAACTAAGGATAGTCTTTTGAAATTATTAAAAATAAAGAATACCACAGTTTTGTTAACTACAGAAGAAATATGAAAACAACAAGAAACAATTCAGACAGAATGAATGCATTCTTTACTAAGGAAAATCCTACAGATCTGGGGAGAGGAAGATTCCCGTATGAGCTTATTCCTCAGGGCTATCTTGATGTTTCTAATGTTGTGCTTTCTCTAAAGCTTATAGAATTAAAATTTGAGAAGTTTGATGTTGAGCGTGATAACTATTGCCGATACGATTTTGTGGCTGTGTTCAATGGTGGAGAAGTCAATGACGCTAAAAGAATCGGCAAGTATTGTGGCGATAGTCCACCTGCGTAAGTAGTGCTGTTTTATTTCCCTAATGTTTTAGTGGCTCTAAACTTCTTTTTTATTCAATTGCCCAGTTACATTTTATTTTCTGGAAGATTCTATGCTGTTGTTGTTTTCTTCACAAATCCTTGGGTTCCATGGCAGTAGAGTCCCATAGAGCACTAGCACAAAGAGTCGCCAACCCAGAGAGTGAGGTGACATTAATGAGTCTGTAGCAAGACCTTGACAGGCAAACAGATAACAGAAGCAGAGTTCGTGATGCCCCAGAGTCAGATGCTAGCCAGATACCTGGATACGTCACTGCCTTACAAAGGTGAGCTCAAGCATCAGAGTGGAAAGGGGGAAGTTCTGAGAAAAAAGCAGGGGCTAAAATTTGGAGATCCAGACAAGGAAACCTGGACACTCATGACAGACCCAGATGATTTTACCTGATCAGAGACCTGTCCTGGACCTTTTGGGGCTTTGTGCCTTTCCTCACATTGTTGCTCAAACTTGTGCTCGGTGAGCCTGAAAGGCACCGTGTATTTATCGACAAACATTTATGGAGCTAAGAGCTCTGCCACTCACTAGCTATGTGACGTTGGGCAAGTTGCTGAATTCCTCTATTCTGTACTGGTGCAATGCAAGACTGTATTTTGGGGCAGGATATTTCACGCCTTCACATACAACACTAGGGAAATTACTACAGCGTGGGGCATCTGGCTTGCTTAGTGGGTGGAGCTTGCAACTCTTGACCTCAGGGTTTTAACTTTGAGCTCCATGTTGGGTGTAGAGATTATTTAAAAAAAAAATCTTTAAAAAAAAAGGAAATTTCTACAGCTTGCTGTCCAACTCACCATTATGCCAATTTAAATACCCTCTCTACTCTGTTGCTTAAACATAATTAGATTATGTGCATCCCTTGATTTTACATGCGTATCTATGATTCCCGTAGATGCATTTGAGGTAAAGCAAGGTATTTTTCAATTTAAATTCATTTGGATTGTTTGATAATATTAAAAATTTTTAAGACATACAAGTTGGTTAAAATTCAAACATTACTAAACCCAAATTTGACTCTCCAGCTGAATGTGTTAGAGAAAGGCCCATTTCTAAGTTGTCAGCGAAGGTGTTCCTTCTGTATTCTTTTCCTGCTGCTGCTGTAACAAATTACCACAAAACCAAGTGGTTTAAAACAACACATTTATTCTCTTACACTTCTGGAGGTCAGAAGTCTGAACTCACTTTCACTGGGCTAAAGTCAAGCTGTCAGCAGGGCTGTTTCCTTCTGGAAGCTCTGAGGGGAGAATCTGTTTCCATGCCTATTGCAGCTTCTAAGAAGCTGCTGCATGTTTTGGCTGTGGTTCCCTCCTCCATCTGCAAAGCACATCCCTCCTGTCTCTGCTTCTGTGCTCGTATTACCTCTCCTCTTCTGGAGTCAAACCTCTGTCTTCTAAGGACACCTGTGGTTACATTTAGGGCCCACCTAGACAATCCAGGATACTGTCCCCTTCTCAAGACCCTTAACTTGATCACACCTGCGCAGTCCCTTTGCACATAAGGTAGCATATTGACCAGCTCCAAGGATTGGAATGTGGACATCTTGGGGGGGTCACTCTTCAGCCTACCACACCCTCCTCTATTCAAAGCCAATCTTTTCATCTATGTCCTTCTTCTGACCTCCTCCTTTTCTCGCTTGAAACTTCCCTCTATCCAATAGTCCTCTTCTTTTTCTCCATCGTCTCCATCTTTTACCTCTGCTTCCTTTTTTCTTTCTTTCCCATAACCTATAAATTTAAGTTTTCCTGAATGAAGAAGAAAAAAAAGGAACCCTTTCTTGACTCTATCCTGCTGTAGCTTTTTCTGCCATGTCTCTCCTCTTTATATTCAAATATTTTTAAAATTTTTTTCAAGTTTCATTTCCTAGCAATATGGAAAAGTAGATAGCCTTTAAAATCGTACAGGGATAAACACCAAACAGTGTTCCTAAGTTAAAAAAAATTTTTTAAACATTGCTCAGTTGGCAAAAAATAAGACAGCTCATCAGAGGTCAAAAATGTTGAGAATCCCAAATCCACAAGGATAAATAAGTACTTGCAGGTGGCAGCTTCCTTCAGGACATGTGCCAGTTCTTAGTAACCTAGAACTTCATTTGCAACAGACCAGGCTTAGAGATAGGAGACAGAGCTCAGGGTCCAGGCAAGGGACGAGACTGGATCAAAGACCAGAACATAAAGAAGGCACCCATAGAAAGTGACACCAATGTGACTGAACTCATTCTCCTCCTCCCCAAGGGACATAGTAAGGAAATTGGCTGTTTGGTAAAGGGAAGAAAAGGTAGTCTCTCATGAGAATTCCTAACTAAAAACCAGTCCACATGTGAGTTTGAGGTTAGAATTTATACTACCTGACTGTACAAAAAAACTGTAGTCAAGAATTTAAAGTTTCTGGGACGCCTGGGTGGCTCAGTCAGTTATGAGTCATATGATAATTTAAACAAGAAACTGAATACATGTGTTAAATAGCTGATAAGACATAGCTCCAAAGAGGATTAGGGAACTGGGAAAGAGTTGTGAAGTAATTACGTGGAATATAACGTAAAAAGACAATACATGAAAAATATAAAAAAGAGGGTAAGAGCCATAGAGGCTAGAGTGCAAGGATCTAATATACATTTAATTGGAGTTCCATAAGAAAAAAATAGAGAATGTAGGAAATTTAATGTTTGAAGAAATAACAGCTGAGTTTTTCCAATATAAATGACAGATACCAATTATTAAATTCAAGAACTCAATAAATCCTAAGCAAAACATTTTAGAATCAGGCTGTCATGTTTAATGAAAAACCAATTTTGTTATTTTTAAATGACACTAATTCTTCCCATTCATGAGAAAGTATATAGCTCCATTTATTGAGGTCTTTTAAAATACCTTTGAATGAGGTCTTATAATTTTCTCTATTAAGGCCTTATACACAATTATGAGATTTATTTTTGAGTATTTTATATTTTTAGTTGCTATGAAAATAATATCTTTTTAAAAATACAAACTTTTGGGGGGTATATTAATATACCCATTCCTGCACGTATTTTAGAATTATTTACTCAGGAAAATCTCTTGTTTGTGAATAAAAGAATTAAAAGACCTTTTCAGTTAAACAAGAGCTGAGAGAGTTTTCTACCAATAGACCCTAACTAAAGAAACTTCATATTCTGTACTTCAGGCAGAAAGGTAGCAGTCACTGAATAAAGAACTGAACTACAGGAGGAAACACTGAGCGAAGATCCTGGTCCTAAGAGCTGAAGGACTTGCAGGCTCCTGTGTTGTTGAGGAATAGGGTGAAGATATTAAGCTGTGTAATATGCTAAAGTAAATGTGGATGTTAAATTTAGGGCAACCATTAGAGTCTTTAACTTCCAAAACAGTGGAGAGAAAACATGAAATGAGAAAAAAGTTCATTCCAAAGGAAGGCAAGAAAAGAGAAAAGGACAAACATTTTATTTTTATTTTTATTTTTTTTTAAGATTTTTATTTATTTGACAGAGAGAGATACAGCGAGAGAGGGAACACAAGCAGGGGGAGTGGAGAGGGAGAAGCAGGCCTCCCGCCGAGCAGGGAGCCCGATGTGGGGCTCGATCCCAGGACCCTGAGATCATGACCTGAGCCGAAGGCAGAGGCTTAACGACTGAGCCACCCAGGCGCCCCAAGGACAAACATTTTAAAAGGAAAGACAAAAAAAGCACAAAATAAGATGGTAGAATTATATCTAGATCTATGTGTAATCAATATAAATGCAAATGGATCAAATCATTAGTGAGAAGACAAAGCATATTAGACTGGATAATAAAACAAATCCAATATATGCTGTTTATAAGACATATCTCCAAAAAAAATAACACAGAGCATTTGAGCTTAAAAGGATAGAAAAAGATACTGGAAGCAAAGGCCAATTGAAAGAAAACTGGCATAGCTTTATTGATATCACGGAAAAGTAGATTTTAGGCAGAAAGCATTACTAAAAATAGTTACTGTGTAATGATAAAAGGTACAATTTATCAGGAAGATGTAATAATTGTAAACTTATATGTACAGAAAAATATATAAAGCAAGAAATAGATAAATAAAAATTACTAGATCTGCAAAGTCCACTATTATAGTAGGAGATTCTTTTTTTTTAATTTAATTTTATTATGTTACGTTAGTCACCATACAGTACTTCATTAGTTTTTTTTTTTAAAGATTTTATTTATTTATTTATTAGAGAGAGAGCGAGAGAGAAACAGCATGAGAGGGGAGAGGGTCAGAGGGAGAAGCAGGCTTCCCGCAGAGCAGGGAGCCTGATGTGGGACTTGATCCCAGGACCCTGTGATCATGACCTGAGCTGAAGGCAGACGCTTAACGACTGAGCCACCCAGGCGCCCCCAGTACTTCATTAGTTTTTGACAGGGGGCAGGGCAACTCTGCCCAAACAGGGTTGCCTGAGTAACAGCACGGCAGGCTCCTCCCTGAGAAGACAGGCTGGGAGAACAAGAGGCCAACAACCCTAAGGTCCCTACAAAACAGGTTCATCTTACTTGGGTTGTGGTCAATAATTTGGACTCTGTACATTCCCTCAACCACCCCTCAACAGAATGACTAGGAGGAGGAACCCCCAAAATAAGAAAGACTCAGAGACTGTGACTTCTGCCACAGATTTACAAATGGATACAGATATAACTAAGATGTCGGAGATGGACTTCAGGGTAACAGTTATGAAGACGATAGCTAGAATGGAGAAATCGATTAATGGCAACATTGAGTCTCTAAGGGCAAAAATGAAAGCTAAACTGGCAGAACTTAAAAATGCTATCAATGAGATCCAATTGAATCTAGATACTCTAACAGCAGAAGAACGAATTAGTAGGAGATTCTTTTTTTTTTTTTAAGATTTTATTTATTTATTTGAGACAGAGAGAATGAGAGAGAGAGAGCACATGAGAGGGGGGAGGGTCAGAGGGAGAAGCAGACTCCCTGCCGAGCAGGGAGCC